CATTGGTGCAGTTCAATCTTCAACATTCCTATTAATTTCCAGTATTAATACATGTAAAAGTAACCCTTGCAACATTTTTATATCTCTCAATGCCCAACCAGATTCCTTTGGAGTAATTCAATCTAAGCTATGGGAACATAATATTCTTCCAGCATTGTTCCACTATAATTAGTATGTGGAGGAATCAAGGACTTGTCCAGAAGGAAAGAATGAACCTTCAAAACCAAAAAGGTTTTGATAGTCCTATTCTTCCTGAATTGCCTTTTAAAGTTGTCCAAATTATCAAACCTCTGCATCTCTTTTAGGAAACATTGCTTCTTTAATTGTTTTGAATCCCCTTCCAAACCATCTTACTTGTCTCAATGATATGAGAGAGAAAGAAAAAGTTTTTTTTTTTCTGAAGAAGCAATGGCTATCCCTTTGAGGGCAACAATGGTGGAATGAAGACAAGCACATCGGAACATTAATAGAAAAAATAGTAAGTTACTATGTTAAAAATAAAGGATGGGAATTTAAAACTGATTTCTTTGATCAAGGTGTATATATGTATATGTGTTTGTGTGTATATGTGTGTATAAATACACACACACACACATATACATATATGTAACAAATATATATATATTGATGAGATATGGGTGGAAGAGATTTTTTATTGAAATATCACAGAAGGTGATAAGTTACTGAAAAGATGATGTTTGATGGAAGGAGAAGTCAGTCAGTCAGTCAGTCATCTTATTAATAAATATATTATAAAACCTAATGATTACATCTTAAACAGCAAAAGATCATTAAGAATTTCCAGTAAGAATGAACCAACACACATACGCACACACTTTAATATAAATTAAAGAAAGAAAAACTTCTCAATTTCCACTTTGTCTTTGTCAAGTATGATTTTTATGGAACTCAATCTAGTTCTGTCTCCGTTGTCTTTTCTCCAAGCCACAGAGTCCCAAATAAGAAAGGCTGTTATACAACCTAATAGAACATATTTTTTATCTTCTGCTCTTATGAATCTGTGGTAGTCATAAATGGGTAAGAATTACTTGAATTACTTCTGCCACGCATCTGTGTCTCTTTTGATAATCAGCAGTCGAGTGATTTGAAATATCTGAAATGGCCTTTGTAATTGCTATAGGCAATGAATGTTATGTGCTCCCTTTAGCAGAAAATATGGATTGAAACTCTGCCAAAAAAAAAAAGGAGAAGCACTTAAATGATACTATCTCTCTGAACTATTTGATCCTGATTACCCTATTACTAAATAAAGAGTAAATATAAAATATTACTGGAAATTGCAGAATATATAGTTGGTATACAAAAACAGATCGAATCAGAGAAACACAACATTGAAAAAGATTGTGAAGATGATGTAGCCCAGCTTTCTGTTTTCTACTACAGCAACCTTGACAGGTGGCTGTTCAGCCTCTGCTCACATAATTGGCAGCAGATGGTCCTCCATCTTCCCATGGTAGGCTGCTCCATTAGAAAACTGCCCTTCTATTTGGAAATGTAACTGCCTTTCAAGAAAAGATTTGTCATGAATAAAGAGGACAACTTACCTCAATATAGCATTTTTCCCATCATTTCTTGTGCACCTCACCTGCCTTGTTTGATAACCAATTTCTATATCCCAAGCCCTAGAGCTGTAGTGGGACCTAAATTTGTGAGAATGTTGCAAATTTTCAACCATTTCGAGCTTAAAAGTGCTTCGCTCTATTGAATCGGAACTGAAATCCAGAATAGTTCTCCCAACCATGTTAAGCTCTTTCAGATGAGGCAACCGGCATTTACTCCAAGGTCCGACTTTAAGACTGTAGGAATATTCCTCTTCCTCATGAGGACAGGACATGGAAACCTCACAGATCCTGGACTCAGTGAGATTTGGACATTTGCTTCCACCGTAGAGTGGAGGAGCAATAATAAAACGGGTTCTATGCTGTATACTTTTTCCACAATGTTTGCTACATTCAGACCAGGCAGAAAATTCGGATACGACGCAATCTCGCGGGCAAGGTATTAGACAGGCTTGTTCCATAGATGGCTGAGGAGTAAAATATCCACAAATCTCCTTTGAAACCACTGTTCTATTCAACTTTTGAACACATTGCACAGTTCTGTGTTGTAATCCATGCTGTGCAGTTACACACTCTGAAGTCCTTGGTTTGATTTCACCGTGGGCAAAAGGGACTAGAATGCATATGCTCCATTCTGAAACTTCCCACTCAAAGAGTTCAAGGTGCCAATCACATATTTTAAAGCAGCTCCTCTGGCATTCAGGTCTATCACTTTGTTCACAGTTTGAATGATGGGTTGTCCAGCCTTCTGAGTGTACACACCAAACTACTCGGCTCTGAACACCACCTGAACCACAGTCACCAATACATCGTCCCCAGTGACCTAAAAAAGAGAAAGAACAAGAGATCTTAAGGCTAGCATCTGTTTTCATTATGAAACAAACAGAAAAGTAGAACATATGATAAAGCTATAGATCAGAGCCCAGTGGTCTAAGAATTGGGTTCATTTCTCTCATGCCTGCAGCTTTCCTCGTCATAGCTTTCAGAACTAGAAGGTGAATAAGAGCTCAGAAGGTGAAAAAGAGATGCTTTTTCTTATTTCAGAGGCTAAGAAAAGTTATATGCAAATACATTTATACTAATCATTCAATTTCCTTTAGGAGTGATTAATGTTTTTTGCAAATACTAGTAGTAAAAAAAAGAATAAGTAGTAGTAAGCCAAAGAGAAGGAGGTCTAATTAATCTAATTTATATCAAACCAGTTATAAACTTTCAAAGGGGAAGGGAAGGGAGGAAGATTTAATGATGCTCTCTGTCAGCTTCCCACAAGGAAAGTCAATGGGGAAGCCAGCAGGAAGTCAGAAGTCACTTCTGCGCCCACTGCTTTTTTGCCCTTGGTCGTTTTGTTTCTCTATTTAAGTAAGGGAATATCTCTGAAATAATGATCCAATGGGAGGCATGGGTTGTCTAGTATAGATATATATTTGCAAATACTACTCTTGTATCTTCTAACAGCTTTTGTCACATTCTGCAATCAAAAGTCAACTCCACAATTACTCAAACCATAATCCAAACCTGTTCACTATTATATTTTTTCTAAAAATAGACAAACAATAAGCTTTCTTTCTCACATTCATACATTTATAAAAGATCTGTTCAACACAGAAAGATTTACATACTACCTGCCGAGCATAAAAATCATATTACACAAAATTTGCTATCCTGTATATACCTTTCCTTTCCAGCTATAGTAATCCCTTATCACTTCACATTCATTCTTATTGTCTTTCCTTTTGTATGAAGGGACAATAATTCCACCCATCAGAGGTGGTCTTCAAACTTACTTTCGATAAATGATACATCCTCTCCTTAACAAAGCACCTCCATATTTTAATATCTCTCAAATAAACACAGTCTGCCTTTTATTTTCAGTCCCAACAATTTTCTATAATTTTCAAAGCAATTTTGACTTTATTTTTCAACTTTTTTCTTTCTTGGGAGACTGCACTATCATTCCAATATAAATGTCTAAAATAATCCTTCAAGCATTCCCTGTCTTCAGTTTCATGCCGTCATTTCATCACTTTGTTTCAGCCAAAGCACATTTTTAAATTCTTCATCAAAACCACTTATATATTTGCACTGTCACTTTAATCTTAACAATTCCTTACCCTCTTTGACTGCATGCTTTGCTATCTTTTTCCCTATATGTACATTCAGCAAGATCTCTCACCTTCATTTTTGCAACAATTATTTTCTTATGTACATTGCTTCTTATACGCACCCTTTCATATCATAATTCCTTCAAGTATCCTTTTTCATATTTCCCATTAGGATACCTGCACAAACTTATATAACATAATTATTTTTACTGTCTCCCCAGCAGTTTTCCATATGCATTCTGTTGGGAAATTAAACTGTCCTTTCATATTTTCTCTTCCTGTAGTCTAAATTCAGTCTAGTTTTTCCCCCTTTTCTTTTACATTTCCAAGAAAATACTCTTGAATTTTCAGAAAATAGTTTGAACCACATCAAGAGCCACCCAGGATTAAATATGGCAAGATGGAAACCAATGATCTGTAGACCAAATGGAACATAAACATGGTACAGATGTCTTTTTCCCAAATCAGATACATCCCAAATCACATACATTCAGTGATCTCTCACAATGTCTCTTAAACCAATCCCTGCATTTCTGTTTCTTCTTCTTCTTCTTCTTCTTCTTCTTCTTCTTCTTCTTCTTCTTCTTCTTCTTCTTCTTCTTCTTCT